AGGAACCCCTGTGCATTGCTGGGTGCGACCCAAAAAGGAAAAAAAAAAAGGAATATCCCTGCTGGAGCGATAGCACAGCGGTAGGGCGTTCGCCTTGCATGCAGCCGGCCCAACCGAGACGAGTTCGATTCCTCCGCCCCTCTCGGAGAGCCCGGCAAGCTACCGAGAGTATCTCGCCCGCACGACAGAGCCTGGCAAGCTCCCCGTGACGTATTCGATATGCCAAACACAGTTAACAAGTGTCACAATGGAGACGTTACTGGGCCCGCTCGAGCAAATCGATGAACAACAGGAGGACCATGACCATGACCGTGACTTTTAATCCTCAGATCTTGTCCAGCGTTCATCCCCAGCTATTTTTGTCATAGAGTCTCTTGTCTCTCTTTCAGTCTCCCAATCAATTCTCACTTTCTCTTCTTGTGAACCTTTGGCCTAGTGACTTAGCCCGGGAGGCATGCTATAATCACTGAGAAATGCAGGGCCCTGCCACGTCTTATTGCTTAATTAGGGTTCTATTTTTGACTCGCAGAGTCACTTGGCTGGGAAGGACAGCAGCCTCCCCCCCCTCCCCCCCCCCCCCCCCCCCCCCCCCGCCACACACACACACACTGACCGCTCCGTATCTGTCTGGTTCTGGCCTGGGCGACAACTCAGGTCCCTTGGTTCAGTAACACCTTCAACTCCTGGAATGAGTTCTTGCCTTTATGCTGTTTTCCAGGGAGAGGAAATACTCTCTACCTTTGGTGGGCCAAGATTATACTTGAGTTCGTGTGGCCAAAACTTGGTTTTTAGGGGCTGGAGCAATAGCACAGCAGGTAGGGCGTTTGCCTTGCACGCGGCCGACCGGGGTTCGATTCCCAGCATACCATAGGGTCCCCAGAGCACCGCCAGGGGTATAATTCCTGAGCGCAGAGCCAGGAGGAACCCCTGTGCATTGCCGGGTGTGACCCAAAAAGAAAAAAAAACTTGGTTTTTTATTATCATCATTATTACTATTTGGCTGTGGGAAATCTCAGTAGACAAATCTCAGTGATATGCAAAAAAAAAAAAAAAAAAAGCTTGGGGCTGGAGTGATAGTATAGCTTCAAGGGCGTTTGCCTTGCACGCGGCTGACCTGGGTTCAATTCCCAGCATCCCATATGGTCACCCAAGCACTGCCAGGAGTAATTCCTGAGTGTAGAGCCAGGAGTACTCCTGAGCATCGCCGGGTGTGACCCAAAAAGCAAAAAAAAAACAAAAAACAAAAAAAAACAACCCCCCCCCCCAAAGCCTCCTTTCTAGTTCTTTCTTGAGCCTTTGATTCTAGTTGGGTTTTTTTTGGGGGGGAGGGGTCCCACGCGGTGTTCAGGAATGAGGGTCACTTCCAGTGATACTCGCTGTCCAGTGCTCAAGCCCGAAGAGGTGGTGTTGGGGCCCTGGTGGTGCTCAGGGGGCCTCTGGGGCCACGCCGGGGCTGTTCAGAAGGTCACACGACACCCCTAACCCTGTCCTCATCCCCAGTGACTGCAAATTTTAATTCGAAACCGGGATCTTTTGAGGGTTGTGGAAATAGCTTCAAGGTGAGGCCCCAACTTTGATCCTAGGCTAACTTTGAATGTCCCCTCACTCCTGGCACCTCTGAACCCAGGGACCAAATTCTGAGGCCCAACAGTGCCAGGTGTGACCCCCAAACAGCACCGGGAGCTGCCCCCAACATGCCCACCGTTAACCTGGAAATACTTCATTTTGTGTGTTTGAGAGGTACCAATCCATTCCTAGGTTGCCAAGCAACAGATAAAGTGGCATGTTCTGGAATGTTCTAGAAAATCTGGGCATTCTGAAGGCTCTGGCCACGTTCTGTGTCCCAACCATTTACTGTGCTCCCCGCAAATATGTTAAGTCCTGAAGAGCGGAAAGTTCAGCCACCACCCCCACCCCCCAAGTCGACCAGGAGGAGCCTTAAGGAGCATTAAGGATTGATGCTTGAGTGAAGCTCTCTCACCCCTTGGTCCACATGGAACTGCAGAGTGAGTGACGTCTTTCTTTCATAAATAGCCGCTAATGAGCTTTTGAGACAGCTGGTGGAAATTAGGTGCTTGTGAGGTAGCCTGACCTGGAGGAAGTGGTGCCCCAGATGAGAGTCCTGAGTCAATCCCACAGAGGGTTCGTTCAGGCTTTGAGATCTCTGAAGAGAAGGGACGTGATTATCCCTCCTGGTTGACTGGGTTCTCCCTCCCCGGCCCCTTTAAAAACGCTGACTCGATGCCTAAGAAATATTGGACCTCAAGCATCTGTTCCAGAGGTCACTGGGCCTGGCCTGGGTCAGAATAACTCCATTGGTGGCTTGGAAGAATTTAGATAAGGCTCTTTGAGGGGCTCTGATGCTAAATCCAGAGTGAAAGTGTTTTTTGGGGATTTCTTTTTTTTTTTCTTTTTTGGGTTACACCCGGCGATGCTCAGGAAATCACTCCTGGCGGTGCTCAGTGGACCCTATGGGATGCTGGGGATCGAACCCGGGTCGGCCGCGTGCCCTGCCCTCTGGACTATTGTCCAGCCCACGAGACCTTTTCAAAGAAATGGTGAGAGTGGACTTCTTACGGACACATCTGAAAGATCCTGGCAGGATAGTTTCAAGTGGCGGGTGGTACCAAGCTCCAGGGCCCGACACGTGTAAGGGGCGTCACAGCCATGCTCAAAACTTCAGTTCAAAATGACCCCGATGGCCACCAGTGAAATCTCTGCCCAAAATGATGACTAACCCGAGAATATCTGCCCCCACCCTCCACCCCCCCACCCATTTCATTTCTCCATCTGCCTCAGGAGCCAAGATCAAACAAACACATCAGACTTGGTTGTTCCTTAGAAGAATAAAGTGTATTTGAACAACGGAACTTGACATTTTTTGGTTCTGTCAATGAATATAAATGCAGACATCGGTGGCTCTCTTCAGAGAAGTCCGCGATGAAAGGCTGTAACGTCAGCATGAATGACATCGTGTAAAATACAGATGTCTGACACTAGCACTGTCCTCCGGTTCATCGATTTGCTTGAGCGGGCACCAGTAACGTCTCCATGGTGAGACTTGTTGTTACTGTTTTTGGCATATCGAATACACCACGGGGAGCTTGCCAGGTTTGCTGCGCAGGCAAGATACTCTCGGTAGCTTTCTGGACTCTCCAAGAGGGGTGGAGGAACTGAACACGGGTTGGCTGCATGCAAGGCAAATGCCCTACCCGCTGTGCTATCCCTCCAGCCCAACCTTGGACACAAATATAATAAAAATAAAATTAAAAAAAAATTAAAAATGAAATACAGACCTTCCTTGTGGCTGGAAGATCATCCTGTCAAACCAACCCACTTAAAAATAGGGCGTCTCGGGGCTGGAGCGATAGCACAGCAGGTCGGGCGTTTGCCTTGCACACGGCCGACCCGGGTTCGATCCCCGGCATCCCATAGGGTCCCCTGAGCACCGCCAGGAGTGATTCCTGAGCGCAGAGCTAGGAGGAACCCCGGTGCATCGCCGGGTGTGACCCAAAAAGCAAAAAAAAAAAATTTTAAAAAAGGCATCTCAATGCGACTACTATGGAGTTTGCATTCTTCAGTTCTCTTATAATTGTTCTAAAGTTATTAAGTCTTACGTTTTTCAGTCTTTGGTTTTTAAGACTTAAATTGTTACCCGTTTCCTTTCTTCTTTTGCATTTCTCATAAACAAGTCATAACTCAAAAGTAGTTTTAGCAGAGTCTGTGGAAAAAGTAGAATGCCCCTACAGAGCACGAAGTAGTGTCAAGTATTAGTAAGAGTAACAGTGACCATCAACAGCTATTAAAATACCAAGAAAAACCATCGTCTTAACAAGTTAAATGCTTTGTCAGGGGACACTTTATATCCAATATATAAAATACATTATTTACGGACAGCTTTAGGAAGAAAAATATGTCAATTCTTTATCCAAAAGTTGCAAGAACACTTTAAATATTGCTTATACAGCCGACAGCTATGGAGATTTTTTTGTTGTTGTTGCTTCGTAGAGTAATATTTTGATGAGAAAGAAATAGAGATGTTTTAATGTCCGATCAATGCTGAGAGGGCAGACTGCATACATGTGATATGCACAGACACACACACACACACACACACACACACACACACGCTTATGATCTGCAGGTGTGGTACCCAACACCTACGGGCAAACTAAACCTACTGAAAGACAAAGGGAAGAAACCAAGCCAGGCAACAAGGCTGAGGAGGCAGCACCAACGGGCGAGACAGGGTCTGCTCACTGGGTCCCTGGGTTCGGCCATTGGATGTCCCCTGAGCAGCTGGGAGTGACCGGAGCCCAGAGCCCCACGTCGAGAGTGGCCTCCCAGTACTGCAGTGCAACACTGAGTTAGGTTAGGGCGTCCAGTTAGGTTAGGGCGTCCAGTTAGGTTAGGGTGTCTCGTGGTTCTGGGATGCTTCACCCACGACACCCACTTCACTCCCTCCTTTGCTGAGTTCTCTCTCCACCCTTACTGATTTACTGGACCACACCTGGGACGCTCAGGTGTTACTCCTGGCTCTGCGCTCGGCGATCACTCCTGGTGGGGCTCCGGGGAGCGTTATGGGACGGCGGGGATCGAACCTGGGTCGGCCGCGTGCAAGGCCAACGCCCTCCCTGCTGTGCTATCGGTCCAGCCCCGTTACCTTAATTTGTGTGTCTTTTTTTACTTGCACTGGCAACTCAGACGCTCCATCCTGGAGTGTGTCCCCAGAGGGGGTCCATCTGTCCCGTCACGCTGCGGGTCTCTTGCCCACCCCCATTTGGTATCTCCCTGGCTCCCACCTCTCACCCCAGGGCCTTTGTCTTCACCCTGCATAGTGGCCCAGCCATAAAGATACAGTGAAGGCTCGAACTCAGGTGATCGAACTCAGGTGATCGGTGCCACCGATGCAGGCGGGGACAATACGAGACCTTGGGGGTGGTGAGACGTTGCGACAAACCCAGCTTAGGGGGGAATACAAGCAGGGGTGGGTCTGCAGGGTGGGCCTGGCAGGGTCATGTGGGCACGGCCTCGGGGGCCGTCTGCGCCGGCGGCTCCGGCTGTGGACACTCGCCCTGTCCCTCCCCGGGAGTCCGGTCGTCCCCGAGGTCCTCGGCCGTCACGTCCAGCTGGGCCATCAGCTCCTCCAGCTTGCGGGCCTTGCGCAGCTCGTTCTGCTGGATGATGGCGCACAGGTGCTCCGTCAGCTGCTCCTTCGTCTCCGTCCTGCGCTGCAGGTCCAGCTTGGCCGCCACGTACTCCGCTTCCGCCTTGTCAAAGCGCTTCCTGTTGGGACACAGGAGGGGCAGGGGAGGTTGGTGCAGGGGGCTGAGGAAACGGCCCGTCCGCGCCAGAACTGGAGGACCCCAACTTGGTCATCAGAGCAGTAACACTTAAAAAAACAAATAATAATAATAATAATCGGGGCAGGGGCGATAGCACAGCAGGGAGGGCATTTGCCTTGCACACGGCCGACCTGGGTTCGATCCCTGGCATCCCCTAGGGTCCCCCGAGCACCGCCAGGAGTGATTCCTGAGTGCAGAGCCAGGAGGAACCCTGTGCATCGCCGGATGGGACCCAAAAAGCAAAAATAAGTAAGTAAAAATTTAAAAATCCTCACAGGGGTATCCAAAATCGACCTGGGTTCAATTCCCAGCAATAGTACAGCGGGGAGGGCGTTTGCCTTGCACGTGGCTGACCCGGGTTCGATCCCCGGTATCCCACAGGGTCCCCCGTGTGACTCAAAATCCAGGAGTGATTCCTGAGTGCAAAGGCAGGAGGAACCCCTGAGCATCGCTGGGTGTGACCCCAAAACCAATAATAATAATATGTAAAAATATACTATTTTACATAAATATAAATATGTAACAATTGATATAATTATTATTAAATAAGGGGCTGGAGCAATAGCACAGTGGGTAGGGCATTTGCCTTGCATGCAGCCGACCCGGGTTCGATTCCTCCACCCCTCTTGGACAGCTCAGCAAGCTACCGAGAGTATCTCGCCCACACGGCAAAGCCTGGCAAGCTCCCTGTGACGTATTTGATATGCCAAAAACAGTAACAAGTCTCATAATTTGTTGTGAGATGTTATCACTCAACACGGATCTAAAAATGAAGATCGGGGCTGGAGCGATAGCACAGTGGGGAGGGCGTCGGCCTTGCACACGGCTGACCCGGGTTCGATTCCCAGCATCCCATAGGGTCCCCAGAGCACCATCAGGAGTGATTCCTGAGTGCATTCCTGATTAACCCCTGTGCCTCGCCAGGTGTGATCCCAAAAGCAAAATAAATAAATAAATAAAAATAATAAATAAAAATAACAAAATGTAAGGATGTGGAGTTTCTACTTGAAAATTCTTCCTTGCAACCTGTTTTTCATACTAGCCCGTGACAAACGGGTCCTAACGGAACTCTGGGAGTACCGGCCGCTCTTATTCCATTACTTCTTATGTATCCTGTCATGAACGTTCTTGCATGCAGCTTAAGAGGCCTGACCCCAGGTCTATGTGGGCCCCCGGCCCTCCCCGCCAAGCCCCCGACTTTAACCACACACGCCTTTGCTCACTGGCCTCATGAATGCAGACCTGAAATTCATGTCTGCGAAGCCTTCCCTGGGCCTCCACGGATCTTTCTGCCCAACTAAATCACCGAAGAGTTTGTGTTTTGTTTATTTATTTAAAATTCTTTGGCCAGAAGTATGCATATCTTCCCCTTTGTACAGCGTGATTTATAATACTGATTAGTTTCACAAACTGCCCCGTCGGCCCGGGGGTCAGGTGGGGAAATTCCAAGGGAGGGTCTGAATACATCGTCAGGAACCCAATAAGAAGGGCATTATGCAAAACAGACAGACAAACCGAACTGGAAATGTCATTAGAGCATCGTGCGGTTATTTTATAGGGACAGTCAATGACTTGATGAATGTTATTTAAAGGATTCAAGAAACTGTCTTTGGGTTTTGGCATCCTGAATTCTTTTTGGAAACTCAATCGTTAACTCTAGGTGTGCCATGGGGTTCCACAGATGCATTGTGAGATTTTAGTCTCTTTTCTGAGAAATTAAAACGATTTGTAAGGATTAACCTAAGTCATGATTTTCAGTGTTTCTCAGCTGTCTTTCCAGGGAGCTAAAATTTTTCTTATATTTAAAAAAAACAATGAAACAAATTCTAGGGGCTGGAGCGATAGCACAGCGGGTAGGGTGTTTGCCTCGTACGTGGCGGACACGGCCGACCCGAGTTCGATTCCTCCGCCCCTCTCGGAGAGCCTGGCAAGCTACCGAGAGTTTCTCGCCCACATGGCGAAGACTGTAAGCTCCCCGTGACGTATTCGATATGCCAAACACAGTAACAATTGTCACAATGGAGATGTTACTGGGCCCGCTCGAGCAAATCGACGAACAATGGGAGGACAGTGACAGTGACAGATTTATAATAAATAGAATAAAACAAATTCTAGGGGCTGGGGCGATAGCACAGCGGGGAGGGCGTTTGCCTTGCATGCAGCCGACCCTGGTTCGATTCCCAGCATCCCATAGGGTACCTCCCAGCACCGCCAGGAGTGATTCCTGAGTGCAGAGCCAGGACTAAGCCCTGTGCATCGCCGGGTGTGACTCAAAAACCGAAACAAAACAAAAAAACCAAATCTACTTGGCAACTGCCAGTATCATGAGAGCAAAAACACTCAGGTTTTCTTTGGTCCGTGGAAACAAACCCAGCACCCTCGTCTGTGGACGCTCAGTGGTAAACTTTCCAATTCTCCGAGACTCCCACACCTTGACAGGTTTTGCCGTTTCATCAACTGAGGAATTTTCTCAACGGTAAGAAAACAGAAAATGTAGGAGGACCCGAAAGGATGAAGTGATGGTTAAAGCAGTCACCACCGCCCCTCACGCTGCAGCCATCCAGGTCTGAGAGAAGGCAGGAAATGGTGGTTTTGGGGGAGACGGGGGTGGTTAAGGCCATGGCCAGCAGTGCTCAGAGGCCCCTCCTAGGTCTGTGCTCGGGGATCAGACCTGCATCAGATACACGCAGGGACCTTCCTCTCCTTTCTGGCCCCAGAAAGTCTATTGGGAATCTGTTCTCAGCTTGCATGGGATAGCACGGAGAATGTGTTCCATTTTGGCAGAGTAGAGAAAATGGGCCCTTCAAGGCATTTTTTTATAGCTCTCAGAAAAATCAAGAGGGGAAACGGGGCACCTGTGACCCCCAGGTGATGTTCACAGGTTGCTTCCTAGAACCTGGGACCATCGCAAATGATGCTGGGAGGGCCGGCCTCCGAGAGGAGCTCATCCTGGATTATGCATTTGGATCTGAAATATGATCTTCTTAGGGGGAAGAGGCCCAGGGGGTTCCCGGATGAGAAGGCGGGGATGGACAGGCCCCAGGGCCATGGGATGCCTGTCACAGCCACCTCGTCCCGCTGGACTCGGGATTTGGGAATCAGGGTTTTCAAAATAACCTCAAACATTCCAGCACGGAGGGCCAGAGGCAGCATGTCACGTCTGCACCCCCAAGGAACTGTCATCGTTAGCATCTTAAGAGACGTAGATTTGGACTGGAGCGATAGCACAGTGGGGAGGGCGTTTGCCTTGCACGCGGCCGACCCGGGTTCGATTCCCGGCATCCCATAGGGTCCCCTGAGCACCGCCAGGGGTGACTCCTGAGTGCAGAGCCAGAAGGATCCCTGTGCATCGCCGGGTGGGACCCAAAAAGCAAAAAAAAATAAAATTGAATGGAAACTCTTTTTACCAGTGAAAATGAACGTTTCCTTATAAGCATTCACCTAGGATGGGATGCTTTTCTCCTTTAATGAATAATCCCAACTTCCTGAGGATTCTCTGGAGGCGAATACTAAGGGAATTTCTTCTGCAACGTTCAAGTTAGAAAGGCATTCTTCTCTACCCTCCTCTGAGACAGAATTAAAACAATCCGATGTTGTTTTTGTTTTGTTTTCTGCTGAAGAAGCCAGAATCACATGACCCCTCACACACAGGCCTCGGACATATCCACGTTCCTCCAGAAAACAAGTCACGGGGGATGAAATGTGTGACACCATCGAGACCGAGTTAACTCTTTTTTTTTTTTGCTTTTTGAGTCACAGCTGGCGATGCACAGGTTACTCCTGGCTTTGCACTCAGGAATTACTCCTGGCGGTGATCAGGGATGCTGGGAATTGAACTTGGATTGGACACAGTGCAAGGCAGAATATCCTCCCTGCTGTGCTGTCGCTCTAGCCCCGAGACTGAGTAGGCTCTTAGTAAAATCTTGGTTACCGCCCTCAAAACCTCACTAATGGGAACGTGCAACTTCCAGTTAGTTATCAGCTACTGCTGGCGTTGATCTGGGCAGTGAATTAATACAGGCAGCCCGTTTTCTCCCACGGCACGTGGTCGGGCAACAATTACGGAGCCCCAAGGACAACCGCAAGCCCCTTTCTCAAAACAATCAAGAATGAAATTAAAAACCACAGCCCGCATTTCCGCTTTATCAAACGGTGACGTAAACGTTCTGATGCGTGGCTCGGCCTGGACTAATGAGGCTTCCTGGCTGGTGGCCAGGGTCCCCACGAGGACACATGGCCGCTGAGTCACCGACACAGTGCTCCCTGGTGAAAAAGGACAAGCCGGGATGATTAAAGCGTCGCTGAAGAAAATGGAAAAGCCTGAAATGGGACTTAATTTTCTGCCCTTTTATCTGTTTGCAAAGTTCATGTAATTCTTTACATGTGTTACTTCATTTTAAAGACGCTGTGATGGTTTTGATGATTTAAAAAATAAATAAAATGAACGTCCGTGGTGGAAACCAAGAAAAGACACGAGAGCAAACCGTTTTCTACCAAGCGTCACGGAAAAGAGAACATAGGAGAGAACCCGGGTGCCATTTTCATTCAAATAGGCACTGCACTGTACTGTGGCACGGTCCTCCCGTAGTTCATCGATTTGCTCGAGCAGGCACCAATAGTGTTAGTGTTTTGGCATAGCGAATATGCACTGGGAGCGTGCCACGTTTTGCCGTGTGGGCGGGATACTCTTGATAGCTTGCCAGGATCTCTGAGAGGGAGGGAGGAATCGAACCCGGCTCAGCCACGTGCAAGGCAAGCACCCGACCTGCCATGCTATTGCTCCAGTCCCAAATAGGCTCATATTCCAATCAATCAATAAATAAACTTGCTCTTCCTAGTAAGAGAACTGGAAGGGGGGGTGGGCTTCAGTTGCAGATGGGCCGGAAGTGAGAGTGTGGAAGCAAGACATTCAGCCGGGCCCTGTCACAGAGGCAGGGTGGGGTGGGGGGGATGGGGGGTGGGAGGGATGCTGGGAGCATTGGAGGTGGGCAATGGACACCGGTGGAGGGATGGGTACTCAATCATTATATAACTGAAACCCAAGCACAAAAATTTGTAAGTCTACAACTGTACCTCATGGTGTCTCACTAATAAAAATTAAAAAAAATAAATAAATAAAAAAAAGACATTCGGCCGGTTAGTGTCCCCACAACACAAACACCACCACCAAAAACGCTAAAGGGAAAAACGGCCACATCAATAAAGCAACGCAGGGGCCGGAGCAATAGCACAAGCAGGGTGGGCGTTTGCCTCACATGTCGCCGACCCAGGTTCGATGCCCGGCATCCCATCGGTGATTCCAGCGTGCAGAGCCAGGAGTCAGCCCTGAGCATCGCCGGGTGGGACTCAAAAAGCAAAATAAATAAATAAGTAAATAAATAAATAAATAAGCAAACAATGCCAGCAACACCCAAACAGGCTGGTGAAGAATATTCTACAGGCCAGAGGTGAGGACGGGTGGTGAGGGGGCGAGCGGAGCAACCTATCAGAGCTGCAGGCGGGGGGAAACAGGCGGCCCCACTCACCGTGCGGCTGAGTACTCGAGGCTGGCCTGGTCGATCCAGTTCCGGAGGATGCCGATGTCGGCCGACACCATGTCGTCCAGCGCCTGCAGCTCCTTCTGGATGCGCTTCAGCTTCAGGGTCTCCGCCTGCGTCCTGCGTGATCTAGAGGGGCGGGCGGAGAGTGGTGAGGGGCGTCGCAAACCCCGGCCTGAAAGCACCCCAGGTCTTGGGACCAAGACGAGGAGAGAACTTTTCGATTTCTTTACTTGTTTTGCTTTCCGGCGATGCACAGGGCTGCGGACTCCTGGCTCTGCACTCAGGAATTACTCCTGGCAGTGCTCAAAGGACCTTATGGAATGCTGGGGATCGAACCCCGGTCAGCCACGTGCAAGGCAAACGCCCTCCCTGCCGTGCTATCGCTCCAGCCCCCAAGGAAAGAGCCTTTGAGACCGTCATCGTTCACACACTCAGTGCATGTGGGGAGAAGCTTCAGCTTGGCCAACATCTTAACCATCTTATTTTCTTGTGACTGACTCCTGGCTCTGTGCTCAGAGATCACTCCTGGAGGGGCCCTGGGTCACTGGGGATCAAACCCAGGTTGGCCTCCTCCGAATCTACCCCGGCGTTCTGTGAGTCTGTGATTTTCACCTTTGAAGGAGGGAAGAACAATTAACCTATGAACAAGTCACAAGGGAAGTTACTTTTCCTTTTAACAGGGGGGGGAGGAGAGGGCTTTAAGTGACAGCTGGCATCCACCTCTCCTAGGTCTCTATCATGCCTGCGGGCAGGACTCCGCGAGAGAATCTTCCTGCTTCTTCTCCCTACATCGGAGCCTCCCCAGTTCTTGCTGGAGACCAGAATTCACTTGTCTGCCAATTAGGGAACCCCAAGAAGTGGCCCCCGTATGAATAGTGATTTCTGTCTGTCTCAAAGCATCCATTTGCCGTGACTCTTCTAGGACACTCCTCCAAACTTCCATTGCTTTGTTTCAATGAGTCCTTGGAATTCTTCTGAGGCGCCAATGTAAACACTCTTCCTTAGTGGGGGTTAGGGCATCCCTCGCAGGAGTGAGGCCCCGAAACCCCTACCCTGCAACGAAACTCTCCCTTCTGCCCTCATTTAAGAGCGTATCACACAATGGAATACTATGCAGCTGTTAGAAAAGATGAGATCATGAAGTTTGCATATAAGTGGATGGACATGGAGATAGTATCATGCTGAGTGAAATGAGTCAGAGAGAGAGGGACAGACACAGAATGACTGCACTCATTTGTGGAATATAAAGTAACATGAGAGGAGACTGACACCTAAGGATAGTAGAGATAAGGGCCAGGAGGATGGCTCCACGGCTTGGAAGCCGGCCTCACATGCTGGGGGAGAAGGCAGCTGGGGTAGAGAAGGGACCACTAAGTCAATGATGGTTGGAGGGATCGCTCGGGATGGGAGATGTGTGCTGAGAGTAGACAGAGGACCAAACGTGATGGCCTCTTAGTACCTGTATTGCAAAGCGTAACACCCGAAAGGAGAGAGAAAGAGGGAATGTGCCTGCCACAGAGGTGGCTAGGCAGGGGTGGGAGGTGATGTGTAAGGGAGAGAAGGGGAATGAGATAGGAGAGGCGGGAAGGATACTGGGAATATTGGTGGTGTAGAATGGGTAATGGTGGGGGGATGCATGCTCCATCACTGTATGACTGAAATGTAACTGTGTCTCAGGATGATTCATTAAAAAAAAAAAAAAGTGTCTCGGCCAAGGCCAGAGTGATAGTACAGCGGGGAGGGCGTTTGCCTTGCACGCAGCTGACCCGGGTTTGATCCCTGGCATCCCACAGGGTCCCCCGAGCACTGCTGGGGTAATTCTTGAGAGCAGAGCCAGGAGTCAGCCCTGAGCACTGCCGGGTGGGACCCAAAAAAGTAAAAAAAAAAAGAAATTTAAATACATACATGCAGAGTCTCTTGCCCCCGCGCCTGGCTGTACTCGCCGGGGCCCCTTGGAGGAAGCGGGTTGAGTTTCCCTCCCTGCCCCGACCAGGGCTCCGGCAGCCGAAGACCTCCAGGACCAGCCACCACCATGCTGAGACCACTCTCCACACGCATGAAGGTACCGGCAGAGGAACACAGGCATGCGGGTCCCGGGGCTGAGATCTCCCAGCCTACTCAGATCGGGGCTGAGCATCCTTCACCCAGATCCTCCGAATTCCAGTAGGTGGGGGTCACACCCACCAACTGGCCCCCTGGCGCCGTGTAATCCCATCAACGGCCAAGACTCAGAGGCTATAAAACCCAGCTCCCGGAAGCGCGCGGCCACAAACGCGGCCACACGACATCTTATTATCTCATTCCTACTTTGGACAAACTGGCAGGCTACGGAATGTAACCTGCCCACACGGCAGAGTCTGGCAAACTTCCCGTGGCGTCCCCAATATGCCAAATACCAGTAACAAGGATGGGTCTCATTCTCCTAACCCTGAAAGAGCCTTGAATGTGGCACTTTTTAAAAAATCTCAGGGGAGGACGAAGGAGACGTTACTGGGGCCTGCTCGAGGCAATCGACGAAATACATACGTAAATAAAAAAGCCTCTCACCACCCAGGGTAGGCAGGCTACACCCTAAAAAGGCAGAATAAACACAAGAGCAAGCCTTTAATCAGGACTTCCCTCGCTTCAAGATTTCACACACATTCTCGTGGGAGAATGAAACTCCCACACGAAACCGCAGTGGCGCAGCTCACACCCCCCAGCCTCCGAGGGGAAGGGGGCTCCTTTCCCTTCACGGTCCTCGATGCCCCTCATTAATAAGTTCAGCAGACGGCATCGCCTTATGTCGGCCTCACATCTCTTCCGTGCTCTGGGTCGTAAATGAGACAAAGACTAAACGCTTTCCGCTAACGGGCTGCAAGGGCAGGGGAGAGGGCAGGCACCCGAGTGCTCAGTACCTCTGGGGCCGGGTGAGAGGCCGAGGTCTGGAGAAAACAGCCAGACCGCACACTAACGTGTCCCAAACATTCTTGCTTGCTCTGTAGGGGACCACACCCAGCAGTGCTCAGGGCTGACTCCCGGCTGAGTTCGGGGCTGACTCCCGGCTCTGTGCTCAGGGATGACTCCTGGCTCTGTGCTCAGGGATCACTCCTGGCTGTGCTTGGGAGACTCCTGGCTCTGTGCTCAGGGATCCTCCCAGCTCTGTGCTCAGGGATCCTCCCAGCTCTGCGCTCAGGGCTGACTCTCGGCTCTGTGCTCAGGGGTGACTCTCGGCTCTGTGCTCAGGGCTCACTCCCGGCTGAGTTCGGGGTTCACTCCCGGCTCTGTGCTCAGGGATCACTCCTGGCTGTGCTCGGGACTCACTCCTGGCTCTGTGCTCAGGGATGACTCTCTGCTCTATGCTCAGGGCCGACTCCCGGCTCTGTGCTCGGGGCTGACTCCCGGCTCTGTGCTCGGGGCTGACTCCCGGCTCTGTGCTCGGGGCTCACTCCTGGCTGTGCTCAGGGATGACTCTCTGCTCTGTGCTCAGGGCTGACTCCTGGGTCTGTGCTCAGGGATCACTCCTGGCTGTGCTTGGGACTGACTCCTGGTGCTGTGCTCAGGGATCCTCCCAGCTCTGTGCTCAGGGCTGACTCTCGGCTCTGTGCTCAGGGCTGACTCCTGGCTCTGTGCTTGGGGCTGACTCCCGGCTCTGTGCTCGGGGCTGACTCCCGGCTCTGTGCTCGGGGCTAACTTCTGGCTCTGTGCTCAGGGCTCACTCCTGGCTGTGCTCAGGGATGACTCTCTGCTCTGTGCTCAGGGCTGACTCCTGGGTCTGTGCTCAGGGATCACTCCTGGCTGTGCTTGGGACTGACTCCTGGTGCTGTGCTCAGGGATCCTCCCAGCTCTGTGCTCAGGGCTGACTCTCGGCTCTGTGCTCAGGGCTGACTCCTGGCTCTGTGCTCGGGGCTGACTCCCAGCTCTGTGCTCGGGGCTGACTCCCGGCTCTGTGCTCAGGGCTGACTTCTGGTAGGGTGAGTGGGGCCAGCGCCCTCCCGCTGTCACACTGCTCCAGCCCAGAACGTTCTCTGTAGCTGGTACCCACCTGCCTCCCTCTCCCGCCCCCAGCCCCGATGACAGCTCGACCCAGATGAATCCTGTCAGGCTCCTGGAGGCTCCAGGGGCTGCCTCGTCACTGGCCCTCTGAGGGTCACCGATGATCGGAGAGACAGTGGGGGGGGCTGCAAAAACGCCTGGACAGGGGCTAGGACAGGCAGTAAAGGCCCAGGCCTGCTGTCCAGATGACACTCGCACCCAACGGGCAGAACTGCTTCTGTGGGACGGTGCTCATGGAAGCTGTCTGCGGGACAGTGCTCACGAGGGCACCCCGTGGGACAGTGCTCATGGGGCTGTCTGAGGAACAGTGCTCACGGGGTCTGTCTGCGGGACAGTGCTCACAGGGGCTGTCTGTGGGACGGTGCTCACGGGGGCTGTCTGCGGGACAGTGCTCACAGGGGCTGTCTGTGGGACGGAGCTCCCAGGGGCTGTCTGTGGGACAGTGCTCACAGGAGCGTCAGTGGGACAGTGCTCATGGGGGCTGTCTGTGGGGATCAAGCAAGTGGGGGCAGGACCAGAGCCTCCCTGCAGGCAGGGCACGTGTGAAAACAGTGCCCACAAAATCCACAGTGGCTGGGGGTGGGAAGCTCAGTCGCAGGGTCCAACCCCTTGTCCAGGGCAGGTGACCGGGGCTCCCAGCGGTAGGACCTAACTCAGTGCTGGCTGCCGGCTGCCTGGGGCCTCGTGTGCGGCGGCTTCAAACCGCTCCTCTGTGAGTCTCCGCACGCCCAGGCCCCCGGCGCCCCGTCTCTCCGCGAAGCTAAGGCTGGAGGGATGATTCTGTGCAATTCCCAGAGCACCTCGGGCCGAGCCCCGAGTCGCTGGCTGCAGAGGAAAAGGCGGTTTATGAAGACAGACCCCGCGGGCCCAGCGTGAGCCCAAGTGCCTCACCTTTCTGCAATAGCTTTAGCCAAAAGAGCTTTCTTACGTTTATTTTTCTCTTCCATCAGTCGCTGTTCTTGCTGGAGGACTTCCCAGCGAGATTTTTCTTGCCTGGTGTACCCGGGGGAAAAAAAAAAAAAAGAAGTATTAAAAGAAGTTGATGAAACCCCATCCCACACCTTAGCCGTCACATTCCCCCGAGTATAAACTTTAATCAGGCAAATTATGGACATTCTCTTACAAAAGTCCTAGGAGGGGCCCAGCTGCAGCTCGTTAGTTTTCTCTATGAGGAACAAAGACGGTGATTTAAAGGAAAGGAGGCACGCAGAAATTGGCCCTTTGAAATCCATTATATGTATATAATCTCAGAACCCGCAAACTGGAAGCCAGAGGACCGTGGTGTTTTTTCGGAGTACAAAGCGACTGTGGGAGTTAATTATGTATTATATGCAAGAGCAGAGCAAAATAAATTGGCCTGCAGCAAATGCCATGTTCTAGCTTGGAGACATTTTTCTCTAATTAAAATCTCTCCCCGAGAACCACCTTAGGACAATAACCGCGGTTTATTTCCTTCGTTTTCTTTCAATTTATTTGGTTCTTTCCAACCCTTGCACAGTCTAAAGAGCGAAACACTCTGAGCTTAAGACTTGAGTCGTAAGGGGCTGGAGCAATAGCACAGCGGGGAGGGCGTTGGCCTTGCACGCGGCCGACCCGCGTTCGATTCCCAGCACCCCATAGGGTCCCCTGAGCACCGCCAGGAGTGATTCCTGAGTGCAGAGCCAGGAGGAACCCCTGAGCATCGCCGGGTGTGGCCCAAAAGGAAAAAAAAAAGCACATTACACACTACACACTGGAGTACTATGTAGCTGTTAGAAAAGATGAAGTCATGAAATTTGCATACAAGTGGTACTACATGGAAAGTATCATGCTAAGTGAAATGAGTCAGAAAGAGAGGGACAGATGTAGAAAGTCTGCACTCATCTGGGGAATATAAAGCAACAGAAGGGGAGTCAAACACTCAAGAAGAGTTGAGATAAGTACCAGGAGGTTCACTCCATGGCCTGGAGGCCAGCCGCACATGCTAGGGGAAAAGGCAGCTCAGATAGAGAAGGGAGCACCAAATAACGGGTGTTGGGAAGATCCGCCCTGGATGGGAGATGCATGCTGAAAGTAGTCTATAGACTGAACATGATTGTCACCCATTGCCTCTTTTGCAAACCACAGCACCCAAAAGGAGAGAGAGAACAAAAGGGAGTGCCCTGCCACAGAGGCAGGGTGGAATGGGGGGATGAGGGGGGTGGGAGGGATACCGGGATCAGTGGTGGTGGAGAATGGGCACTGGTGGAGGGATGGGTACTTGATCACTGTATAACTGAAACCCAAGCACAAAAGTTTGTAAGTCTACAACTGTACCTCATGGTGTTTCACTAATAAAAATTAAAAAAAAAAAAAGTACAGGGTTAAGGTGCATACCTTATACGCAGCAGACCCTGGCTTCTTCCCCAGAACGGCCCAGTCCCCCCAGACATTGCCAGGTATACCCTGGGGGGGTCCCCTGAGCACCCCAGGGATAGTCTGGCTAATCCCTCGCAACACACCCCAGGCCTCACATTGAACACCACAACCGTTCTCTCCATAAAGAACAGTTTCCCAAGAGACATCCCGGCTAAGGGGTCCGGTTCAATTTCAACCCATCCCCTCTGCCTTGGGCCTCGGGGGATGAGAGGGGCTTAAGACGCATTTAAATGTATGTGGCGGGGCCGGTGTGGATTCGTGATTTACGTGGCTGGTCAGGAGGATCTCGTGGGCAGACACCCCTGGCCGACCGGAAACAGTAGAGTCGGAATCAGCAGAGACGGGAGAACGGCTGAGGCAGGGGGAGACGTAAAAGACCCTGAAAGAGAGAGGCTCGGGAAACGGGAGACAGAAGCAAATGCCATTCTTTCTCCCCCTGCCAGTGAGCAGTGGTCACTGTCACTGTCACTGTCCTCCCGTTGTTCGTCGATTTACTCGAGCGGGCCCAGTAACGTCTCCATTGGAGACTTTGTTGTTACTGTGTCTGGCATATCGAATACTCTCGGTAGCTTGCCGGGCTCTCCGAGAGGGGCGGAGGAATCGAACTCGGGTCGGCCATGTTGGCCGCTTGTAAGGCAAATGCCCTACTGGTGAATCAATAAAAAAAAAATAAATAAATAAAAATAAATAAATAAATAGGGGCTGGAGCGACAGTACAGCGGGGAGGGCGTTGGCCTTGCATGCGGCCGACCCGAGTTCAATTCCCAGCATCCAACAGGGTCCCCCGAGCACCGCCAGGGGTAATTCCCGAGTGCAGAGCCAGGAGTCAGCCCTGAGCATCACTGGGTGGGACCCAAAAAGATTTAAAAAAAAAAAAAAAAGTAAGTCTGAGGGTACTGATTCCTCGTTGGAGAACGGCCATTTCTGCCTGTGGAACTGAGCCCCGGAAGCGATTCTAGCAGACACACAGTGACGGCTATAAAGAGTGACACTGCACGGCCGAACTTGTTCATCATTTTGCTTCCTACACGCGCACTCTGCGCTACAAAGGCCCTTTCTCGGGGAGCAGAGATGTACCTGGAAATGGAATACTCAATTTGGGGAGAACTAATACTAGGCTGGAGCGATAGCACAGCGGGTAGGGCGTTTGCCTTGCACGCAGCCAACACGGCCGACCCGAGTTCGATTCCTCCGCCCCTCTCGGAGAGCCCGGCAAGCTACCGAGAGTATTCGATATGCCAGACACAGTAACAACAAAGTCTCCAATGGAGACGTTACTGGGCCCGCTCGAGCAAATCGATGATCAACGGGAGGGCCTTTACCTTTACCTTTATATTTCGAGTGGGCTGGAGCGATAGCACAGCGGGTAGGGCGTTTGCCTTGCACGCAGCCAACATGGCCGACCCGAGTTCGATTCCTCCGCCCCTCTCGGAGAGCCCGGCAAGCTACCGAGAGTATCTCGCCCGCACGGCAGAGCCTGGCAAGCTCTCCGTGACGTATTCGATATGCCAGACACAGTAACAACAAAGTCTCCAATGGAGACGTTACTGGGCCCGCTCGAGCAAATCGACGATCAACGGGAGGGCCTTTACTTACTTACTAATACTAGGCATCTAATACTCTGGGGTGCACAAAGGGTGGCCCAGGATCCTGAGAGATTTGCTTGTGAGCCCCAACTTGATGCCGCTCTAGCAACAAATTTGTTTTAGGAGCGTGGTTCCTCTCTCTCCCTCTTTCGACATCGATTTGAGGCTAGTAGTGCTCAGGGCTTATTCCTGGCACTGTGCTCGGGCGACCCTGGGGGATGCCGGGGATCGAACCCGGCTCGGTGGGCTGCGTGCAAGGCAACACCCTCTGTGCAACTATTGCTCGGCCCCTGCAGTATTCTTTCTGACCCCAAGGTACTGCCCCTGAGAAGCGGAACTACGCAGTCGGCGTAACAAGGACGGCGGCCGAATCCGCTGACGTAAAAGCAAGAAAACGTTTAGACTCTGGTTTCTTCAAAGCCCCCTTGGGGGCTGGGGGGACGTAACATGGAAAAACGTCTCCTGGATATATAGACTTACTAACAATTCCACTTTCTTTGTCTCCTGCTTGCAGTCCGGCTGTGGGGGGTGAGCCTCAGCACTTCGGGGGCCTTCGTGGGAATTCGTGGGTCCCACATCTGGGCCCTGACGCCCCAGGTCCCGGGCGTTTCCATCCCCGGTGCCGGCGGGGAGCACGGGAGGGCTCGGGGGAGCAGGGGACGGAGGACGGGGAGGTTGAGGACAGAGATTCTGTTTGGGGGCAGGAGGCAGCTGCTCTGGTGGGCTGCCGCCTCCTCCATGCTGAACACCAAGAAGCCGTTGGTTCTGCGCGGGTGGGGCCCTCTCCCGCGGGAGCTGCTGGCGGTCTTTCTTTGCAGGAAGCCGACGCTGCGGCTCAGAGGGATCTGGGGAGAGAAAAAGAGGAGAAGGGGCTAAATTTCACTGCGGCGACGCGCTGAATAGCGACAATGCCCCCCCCCCCCAAGAACTGGCAGAGTGCTCTCCCCGCTTCTCGGCAGTAGAAGCCCAGGACCCAGAGCCATCTCGGACCCTCTGGGACAGACAGCTGCCTGCCTGTCTGAGAGTTAGGCCCTGGGACACAAGGGCCTTTTCTTCTTCCGGACTGGCTGGAATCAAACCCTGATTTTTTTTTTTTTTTTGCTTTTTTTGGGGCACTCCCAGCGATGTTCAGGGCTGACTCCTGGCTCTGCACTCAGGCATCACTCCTGGCAGTGCTCGGGGGACCCTATGGGATGCCAGGGAATCGAACCTGGGTCGGCTGCGTGCAAGGCAAATGCCCTCCCCGCTGTGCTATCACTCCAGCCCCCAAACGCTGATTCTTTACTAGAACTCACACTAGGTCGACGGCTGCAAAGGCTCTGCACCTGTCTTGGGGTCTGTCGCCGTCTGCGTGCCTGAAACCGTGCACGGGTTTTCAAAGGGGTTTCGCCTCTCTCAAATCCAAGCGGTTTCAGGGGCGTTTTGGATACGCCGGTAGGAAGAGTCGAAGGGACAGGAGCGAATTCTCCGGCTTCTAGGGATCTTCAGCGAACCCTACATTGCCTGCTCTCATCTCTGATCTGGTCCCCAAGGTCTGCGGAACCTCTCACCAAAAAGTGTGCACCTAATTCTGAAAACAATCTGAGCTGAGGCAAGGGAGGAAGATGCATCTGTCCTGCAATCCGGACGGTCCGTACCCGTGCCCGCTCACAGGATGGGCAGCTGCAGAATTCGACTTGGTTTTGATAGCTGATAAAATGGACACATGGCACTGGAAGGGCAAGGAGGGGGGGGGGCTAGGCCAATCTCAGCAGCTGAGGGGGTGCGATTTCTGGCTCGGGGCTCTTGGGTCACTCCCGGCGATGCTTGGGGGACTACATGTAGGGGGGTGATGAGGACAGATCTGGGGTCGGCCACATGCAAGGCAAGCGCCTTGACCCCTGTATGTTCCATCCGGGCCTATCGATGAGGGTCTATTACAAACCACCCAGGGAAGGGAACGATGGCGACCCCGAGGTCGGGAAGGGAACGCACAGGTCGCTGCCCCACTTTTGCACGGCGACGTCCATCCCCATGGTGCAGTTTCCCCGCGCTGTCCGGCCTGGATGCAGGTCCCTCTTCCTCTTCACCCCTTTGCAACCCTCCCAGAGGCCGGCCTGCAGGCTCCCCGCGCCCCTCCCCAATTGCAGGCACGTGAACGAAGGATCTCCCCGCCCCCCCCAGCCCGCCGCCTCCTCCACGCAGTCCTCCAGGGCCGCCCCCTCTTCCCCGCCCCCTTGGAAACGGCAGCCCCGCCCCTTCCCCCTCGCACAAACGCCCGGGCGCGGCGGCCCGTTACCTTTGCGCTGCTTCAGCCGCCGCAGCTCCTCCTCCGAGAAGCCGGCCCAGCCCTGCGCCATCCGCCCGGGGTCGCCGGCCGCGCCCCGACGCCCCGAGCCGCCCCGCCGCCACTTGCCAACGCACAGCGCGGCCACATCCGGCTTCCCGGGCCCGGCAGCCAATCAGCGCGCGCGCCGCGAGGGCACGAGGACCCCGGCCCCGCCCCTGGCCCCGCCCACCGAGGCTGCCCGCCGCAGAGCCTGAAGAAAAACACAAAAATAAATCCCGGGCGCGCGGAGACTCGCACCCGTGCCGGTCCCTGCTCGCTCCCTCCCGCTCTCCCCGGGGCAGCGGCGGCCGGACCTGAGCGGGTGCGTGACCGGGCTCCAACAGACAGACAGACAGACAGGCAGTGCGCAGGCCAGCCCGAGCGGGAGAGGGCGGAAGTCCCGCCCCCCCGGCCCGCGGGGTCCTTCGCTTCAGCGTGGCCGTAGCCTCGTCGCCCCGTTTCCCTTCAGCGGCGCCTTCCCAGAGTTCGGGCGTTTTTTGGGGGGGGATTTGCTCGGGAGTCGCCCCGGGGGTCCTCCAGGGGACGCTTGAGGCGGCCCACGACGCGGGTGCCCCACCCCCCACCTCAGTTCTGTGGAGATGCTGAAGAGGCTCCTGCGCCTCAGGGCGGCCCCACCCCCCCCAACCTAAGTTCTCTGGAGATGCTGAAGAGAGTCACCTCAGGGCGTGGACGCCTTAGCGCCTCAGGAAGCGGCCCCCTCAGTTCTCTGGAGGTGCTGAAGAGACTCACCTCAGGGTGCCGACACCATAGCGCCTCAGGAAGGGTCCCCCTCAGTTCTCTAGAGATGCTGAAGAGACTCACCTCAGGGCGCAGACGCCTTAGTGCCTCACGGAGGGGCCCCCTCAGTTCTCTGGAGGTGCTGAAGAGACACACCTCAGGGTGCGGACACCCTAGCACCTCAGGAAGGGGCCCCCTCAGTTCTCTAAAGATGCTGAAGAGACTCACCTCAGGGCACAGACACCCGAGCACCTCAGAAAGGGGCCGCCTCAGTTCTCTGGAGGTGCTGAAGAGACTCACCTCAGGGTGCCGACACCATAGCGCCTCAGGAAGGGTCCCCCTCAGTTCTCTAGAGATGCTGAAGAGACTCACCTCAGGGCGCAGACGCCTTAGTGCCTCACGGAGGAACCCCCTCAGTTCTCTGGCGGTGCTGAAGTGACACCTCAGGGTGCGGACACCCTAGCACCTCAGGAAGGGGCCCCCTCAGTTCTCTAAAGATGCTGAAAAGACTCACCTCAGGGCACAGACACCCTAGCACCTCAGAAAGGGGCTCCCTCAGTTCTCTGGAGGTGCTGAAGAGACTTACCTCAGCGCAGGCACCATAGCACCTCAGGAAGGGGCCCCCTCAGTTCTCTAAAGATGCTGAAGAGACTCACCTCAGGGCGCAGACGCCTTAGTGCCTCACAGAGGGGCCCCCTCAGTTCTCTGGAGGTGCTGAAGAGACACACCTCAGGGTGCGGACACCCTAGCGCCTCAGGAAGGGGCCCCCTCAGTTCTCTAAAGATGCTGAAGAGACTCACCTCAGGGCACAGACACCCGAGCACCTCAGGAAGGGGCCCCCTCAGTTCTTTGGTGATGCTGAAGAGACTTGCCTCAGGGCACAGACGCCTTAGCGCCTCAGGAAGGAACCCCCTCAGTTCTCTGGAGGTGCTGAAGAGACTTACCTCAGCGCAGGCACCATAGCACCTCAGGAAGGGGCCCCCTCAGTTCTTTGGTGATGCTGAAGAGACTCACTTCAGGGCACAGACGCCTTAGCGCCTCACATAGAGGTCCTCTCGATTCTCGAGATCCTGAAGAGACAGACACATGCACCAGTCCTGGCTCCCAAGGGATGTCAGAAATCTTCCCCCTAAAAAACAATCACCAACAACCAAAAAAGCATTTTCCACCCCGAAAACACAAACTGTAAAAAAGTATTTACTTCATTTTGGGGCCCACACCCAGTTATGGGCCCCTCCAGGTGGTGTGGTCAGGAATCTCCTGGTGGCGCCTGTGTCCTTGTGGGTCCAGACTCTTGAAGAGACGAACTTTGGCTTCTGCCTGATCCCCGTTTCTATGTCTGACTTTGCCCTGGACGCTGAAGCTTTTTCTGAGCGCCCAGGGGCGCCTTTTATTTTATATTATTTTATTTATGGAATCCCCATGAGAAATAGTTACGAAGCTTTCATGATCGAGTTTCAGTCATACAATGATGGAATACAGACATACAGTCATTCGTGCTGGGAGACAGGGTCGTCTTTTAAAGCAAGACTTCAAAGTTAGAATAGGCAAGAGTTGGCCAAGTACGTATCTAGCAGGATCACTTATTTGTTAAATTTTTAAAAATATTGGGGGCTGGAGCAATAGCACAGCAGGTAGGGTGTTTGCCTTGCACGCAGCCAACATGGGTGACCCAGGTTGGATTCCCAGCATCCCATAGGGTCCCCCAAGCACCGCCAGGAGTAATTCCTGAGTGCATGAGCCAGGAGTAACCCCTGAGCATCGCTGGGTGTGACCCAAGATGCAATAAAATAAAATAAAAAAGGAATATTGCATTAAAATATTATTTTTGGTTTACATTTTAAAAAGTGGGGGGCCGAGGCTGGAGCAATAGTACAGTGGGTAGGGAGTTTGCCTTGCATGCAGTTGACCTAGGTTTGATTGCCAGCATCCCACAGGGTTCCCCAAACACTGCCAGGAGTGATTCCTGAGTGCAAGGCCAGGAGTAACCCCTATGCATCGCTGGGTGTGACCCAAAAAGCCAAAAAATAAAAGTTGGGCTGCGGGAGTATTGTGGAGAAGAGGGGTTGAGGGTTGTGCCTTGCTTCTGAGATCCCAGGTTAGAACCTTGGCACCTCATGTTGCCCTGAGCATTGCAGGTACCACTGAATGTGGCCCCCACATCAAAGTCGAAGACAAATCAATATCCTTGTAGTGAGTCCATCGTTTAAGAGCACATTGATACAAAGGAAACTAAAAGTACCCACACGAGAAGTTGGTGTTGTTCAGAGTGAGATCAAGAGGGAATGTTTATAGTCCTTCCCTGCCTCTGAGATTGGAAATCTGGAGCTGAGAATTCTGTAACTTGGTGGGGAACAGAGTTCTTTAACTGGGGTGGGGGGCGTGTCACAAAGTCATTTTGCAATGTGGAGTCGCGTTCACTAACATTGCACTCAACTTCTTCAACATTGCAGCGCAGAAACATCCAAAAGGATGCAAGGAGACAGATCCAGCCAGTTACTGACCGTAGACTAATAAGTAAGTTCACAATGCGGATCAGGATCCGTGTTGATTTTTATGCTGGAACTTTCCCACTGCTGGTGCCTTGCAAGAAATTCCCAAGTCTTAATGGAGGTGGAAATTGAGTTTTAAGAGGCTTTGCTGTGAGCGTTGTGAATGATACTGATCACGATCACGACCATCCTGTTATTCGTCGATTGCCTCGAGCAGGCCCCAGTAACGTCTCCTTCGTCCCAACCCTGAGATTTTACAAAGTGCCATATTCAAGGATCTTTCAGGGTTAGGAGAATGAGACCCATCATTGTTACTGGTATTTGGCATATTGGGGACGCCACGGGGAGTTTGCCAGACTCTGCCATGTGGGCAGGTAACATTCAGTAACCTGCCAGGTTGTCCAAAGTAAGAATGAGATGATAAGATGTCGCTTCCCGGAGCTGGGTTTTATAGTCTCTGAGTCTTGGCCATTGATGGGATTACATGGCACCAGGGGGCCAGTTGGTGGGTGTGACCCCCGACTACTGGAATTCGGAGGATCTGGGTGGAGGATGCTCAGCCCCGATCCAAGTAGGCTTGGAGATCTCAGTCCCGGGACCCACATGCCTTTGTTCCTCTGCTGGTACCTTCATGTGTGCGGAGAGTGGTCTCAGCATGGTGGTGGCTGGTTGTAAGATAAATTTGTGAAATAAATTCCCATTTCCGGTGAATTTCAAGCCTGAGAATCTATTGGTGGTTGTCATTGGTTCTGCTGCATAATGGTTGGTTTCTTCAAAGGACAAATTTGTCCTGTGTGGAGCATTCAGGGCAACGCAGCTGCCAGGTTGGTTATTCTAGGAGAGAACTCTATACCTTGGGTTCAGGCACTGTCTCTGCAGGTTGGTTTTGCTAGAAATGTCAATGGTTTTCTGCCTTGAAGTAGTTTTTACCAGCATGTAGCACTGTAGCACTGTCCTCCAGTTGTTCATCAATTTACTCGAGGGGGCCCGGTAACGTCTCCATTGTGAGACTTGTTGTTACTGTGTTTGGCATATCGAATACGTCACGGGTATCTTGCCAGGCTTTGCCATGCGGGCGAGATACTCTTGGTAGCTTGCTGGGGTCTCCGGGAGGGATGGAGGAATCGAACTGGGTCAGCCTGGTCAGCCACGTGCAAGGCAAATGCCCTACCGCTGTGCTATCGTTCCAGCCCTACCAGCATGTAATAGGCACAAATTTAAATCCTATCCCTATTTATTACAGTTATCAGATGTTTGTCTCACTCTCCTAAAGAGCCTTGAATATAATCTCAGGGCTAGGATGAAGGAGACGTTACTGGGGCCTGCTCGAGGCAATCGACGAATAACAGGATGGTCGTGATTCGTGATTCGTGATCAGATGTTTGTAGGTGCCATAAAAAAGCAATCAAAACATTGGAGAGATTGCTCAGGGGCTGAGCTCATGCTTTGTAAGCTTAAAGCTGGCTTCCATCCCTGATCTCTCGAGTACTGAACTAAGAGCAGTCAGGATCAAGAGCCCTGAGCTCAAAGAGTAGCCCCAGGTTACAACCAAAAAAAAAAAAAAAGAGTAAACGTTATCTACAGATTCCATAAGTATCATTACTATTACAAATAGCCATCATTCCTTACTACTTTTCCAGACCTGTTCGTTGGGTTTTCCCCATAATCTTTAGTTAACAGATGAATCGTCCTTTCTAGATTCTGAACTTTTATTTCAGGGATCTTTATCAAATGTGTGCAGCACTACACAGCAATTTCTTTTAGTTTCACTCCTCCCCCCCCCCCCACCATGCATAGATGATGCAGTTCCCCACAAATTTTCTGTCTACATCTTTCTTGCTTTCGTTGGGGTTCTGTGATGTATTTCCCTCCTTTAAATA